AGATTAAATTACATACAAGCTTATTAAATTAAGTAATTATATATATATATATATATATATATATATATATATATATAGGGGTGGTTTCAAATGAAAACGGATTTTTCATTGTGAACATTAGGACATATCTTGGTCATTGATCAAAATTTAGAAAACTAATCAACGGTTAAAACATAAAAAGATTAATTAAGGGGATGTTTGGGATTGCTTATTTTAGGTGTTTTTTGACTTATTTCAGTCTGACACCGGTGATAAGCTAAATGCTAGTGTTTCGATGAAGAAAAATAAATCTGCTTATACCGGTGTCAAACCGGTAATTAGCAGTTTTTGATAAGTTAATCTTTCCTGACTTATGAAAAACTGCTTATTACCAGTTTACCATTTTCACCCTGTTTTATTAATGTTTGTTAATTATTAATCTTATTGATATAAATTTTTATCAAAAATATTATTATAAATGATGAAAAATAAATTTTTACATGTTAAAAAATCAAATAAGTTAATAAGCAATCTCAAACACTCTCATAAGTCAATAATATGGAAGATTGTCCTTTTTGGTCATTTTACATATATAAACGAAATTTGTCAAACATTAAAAAACAGCTTATTAGCTTATTACTTTTTAGTACCTTTATAAGCTAATCCAAACATTTTTTACAAAACTCAGATTTGATACCACATAAATTAATAAACACTTTTACAAAAAAAAACATAAATTGTTTTAAACAAGCAATCCCAAACACCCACAAGAGATGAACACCCACAAGAGATGATGATAAACAAAAATGGAAGTCAAGATTTACACGTACCATGTTGACTTTTTATTTTCTTTATTAATTAAATTTTTTTTACCCTTTTAATTTTTAAATTAAATTATCTTGAAAATAATTAATATTTTAATCAAACAAATTATATCAAAAAATCGAGCATTTATTTCTCTTCGATTTGACATCCATTTTGATATAGTTTTTTTATTTATTTATGTTTTAAACGTTTTTTTACGTCAAATAGTATACATATGTAATAAACATTATGAATATTTATGCACATATGTTTACAACAACTCTTTAATATTTATACATTAGTATGATATTCATCATGGATATACAACTTACTATAACATTCATCATAAATAGTTATGTATTTTCACGTATATTCAACAAATCTTTAGTATTCATACACAACTATGACATTCATCGTCAATATACATCTTCATCATAACATTCAACATGAATATAAATAGTATTCATCATGAATATATGTTTTCTTTATATTCATCATGAATATATATGTTCATATGTATACAATAACTTTAGTATTCATTCATCAATATGATACATACTATTCATTACGAATATACATACCATTATCATGAATATTTTTATATGTTCACGTGTATATAACAACTTTTCAACATTCATACATCAATATGATATTCGTTATTAATATACATTTTCATTTTAAATAGTTAATTTGATACTAATATTGATACATTTTTTTTTGCAAATTTTATATGATATTTTCAAATTTATATTTTTTCAAAAATAAAAACATTATCGTTTTCTCAAAACCACATAAAATAGTGTTATATCGACATGGATAAAAAATAAAACGAAACATTAAAATAGAAATTAGTATCGATGTATTGCACGAGTACCCTTCTAATATATATATATATATATATGGGCCAAGTTGAGGGGAAACGTCAAATAAATGGAAACTGAAAAATCACAAAAAAAACAGATGAAAAAGTATATCAATATGAATGTCAAATTAACGAGAAAAATATGATTATCTTTTTGGTGTAATTTATTTCGCTCAAATTTTGTTTTTATTTTCCTGTCCTTTTTCGAATAAAGAATAGGAGGTGAGATTTTTTAATTTAAATTTTTTGTTGTAATCGTCCATTTAATCACATTCATTAGATCATCTAATCTGACGGCTAATAAGGTGTTTTTTAGTTTATTTATTTATTTACTTAGGGGTTTTCTCCTAAGAGTTGTGTTTCGATGAGAAAGAGAGTTAAAGTGAGGAGCGTAAGAAATTATCTTCACAATTGGATGCACATTAGCATGTGATGCACCGAGATACACCAGATCAATTCCCGTGAAAAGCATAATTCATGGGTAGGCAACATATTAAAAGTGATCAAGGGTCCAAATTCATTCTTACGCTTTTCATCTTAACTTTCATTCTTACACGATTTTTCGCCTTTCTCCTGGAACCCCCCCCCCCACTCTCTCTCTCTCTCTCTATATATACATATATATATATACACACACACACACACACGATTATATTATGTTGAGAATGGAAGTTATAGTGAGAAGGGTAAGATGAAGATCAACAGTAATGAGATTCACCGAGATGTACTAGATAAATTCTTGTATCAGGCGCAATTCATGAGGTGGTGTGAGATTAAAAGTGATCAATGATCCAAATTCCTTCTTACGCTTCTCATCTTAACTCCTATTCTCACATGGTCTTTCGTCTCTCTCTCTCTCTCTCTCTATATATATATATATATATA